CTGCTCTGCGCTCTACATGACGTCACAATCACGGACGTTTGATCACTAAATGTACGGTTGGTTTAGCAGGCGGTGGTATGAGCTTTAACCACAGTTCTTAAATAATTTCAAAATAAAATACCTCCGGATTTAACAGAAGTGTATTTCAGTTTAAAAAAAAAACTTCAAAGTAACGTATTTATAGTTTTTTTATTATGATTTCGAAAGACCCCCCCCCTCCATTAAAATTAAAAGTATGTGAAAAATTAATAGTCTGTTGTTAATGATCAAATCGTCGTGTTTAATTGCAGCTCACTCTAGCTGGCTTTGTATAATGTGATACTGTTACATTCTCCTATACAGCTGTATGTTATCCTACACTGTTACATTCTCCTATACAGCTGTATGTTATCCTACACTGTTACATTCTTCTACCTAGAATGATGTTATCCTGTACTGTTACATTCTTCTATACAGCTGTATGTTATCCTACACTGTTACATTATTCTATACAGCTGTATGTTATCCTGTATTGTTCAATTCTCCTATACAGCTGTATGTTATCCTACACTGTTACATTCTTCTATACAGCTGTATGTTACCCTACACTGTTTCATTCCTCTACCTAGAATGATGTTATCCTACACTGTTACATTCTCCTATACAGCTGTATGTTATCCTACACTGTTTCATTCCTCTACCTAGAATGATGTTATCCTGTATTGTTCAATTCTCCTATACAGCTGTATGTTATCCTACACTGTTACATTCCTCTACCTAGAATGATGTTATCCTGTATTGTTCAATTTTTCTATACAGCTGTATGTTATCCTACACTGTTTCAATTATTCTACCTAGAATGATGTAATCCTGTATTGTTCAATTCTTCTCTGCAGCTGTATGTTATCCTACACTGTTTCATTCCTCTACCTAGAATGATGTTATCCTGTATTGTTCAATTCTTCTATACAGCTGTATGTTATCCTACACTGTTTCATTCCTCTACCTAGAATGATGTTATCCTGTATTGTTCAATTCTTCTATACAGCTGTATGTTATCCTATACTGTTTCATTCCTCTACCTAGAATGATGTTATCTTGTATTGTTCAATTCCTCTATATAGATTTGGGTAATACGTCACTGTTCCGTTCCTCTATACATCTGTGGGTAATACGCCACTGTTCCATTCCTCTATACTGTGGGTAATACAGTACTGTCCCCTCCGTATACATCCAATGTTAAAAGTACTGTAATTTATTATTCTATCCAATCAGTTTTTCTGTCCTTGTAGTCCCCATAATTATGCTACCCTATTACGCTATATTGAATCTCCCCCGTGTTATGCTGTCGTGTACTATTACTGTATTGTGATTTTCCCCTATATTTACTGCTAGGCATTTTCTCTTTACACACTCGCTCCTGATATACCTGTTGTATTAATTAATGTTTTTAACAAAAGGAAAATTGAGACTGGGTGAGATTCGAACCTGTAATTCTGCTTCTCAGGCAGAGCAGCTAATATAGGGTATGTTTAAGACCGGACGATGACTTAGTTATCTAAAGTGTCCCCCCCCCCCACACGAATCAGCCAAAGATTTTTGAATTCTACCCGCTATTCAATGTTCATTTCTTTTAAAATAAATCGTAATTTCACAGAAAAGGATGCCATTTTTAAAGTGTGTACTGATTTTCTTTATCTTGCAGTATTTCTTATATTTCTGTTGTTCTTTTCATACATCCTTTGCTCAGTTCCATCTCATCTTCCTGTCTCGGTTATGTTACATTTCCCGGTCTCTTTTCTTTCTTTTATCTTATTCTATTCTATTGTCCTCTTTCGTACTTTGTTACCCTGTCTATCCCCGCTTATGTTTATCTTCTCCTAACATCCGTAGTGTACTCACTGTCTCATCTTCCTCTGGCCACTTGTGCCTTATTGATTTTTGTACTTCTCATTTATTGCCAAGAGCACCAAATGATTAATATACTTGGTTTTATAGCAAGTTTAGGCCTACAGCTCGGGTTAGCAGGTCAGTATAGAGCTGTCTCAATGACTGTAAAAACTCTTCACTCGTAACGTAAACAAATAAGGCTGTTTAAGAAAGGTGTTCACTGTTTGAACATGAAATACGTTATTTAACATTTTAAACTCGTAGGAGAGTATTTTATGAAAAAAAAAAACTCATTTTATTTTTACGAAAAACTGTTTGCTTTAAGCGTAAACCTACACATTGGAAAATCTGCACGGTGTCCACCGCAAGGATCGAACCCTAAAATTTTACGTTATGTACTCTCAAGCTTACCACTGAGCCACTGGAGAAGCCTTATAAGCAAGCGATTGAGCAACCAACAAACTATAAAATTACTTCCCATTTATTATGTTATCCTATTAAACTGTAAAGTACTTTCCCTTATTATGCTGTCTTATTACGCTATAATGTACTCTCCTAATTATGCTATCCTATTACGCTATAATTTACTCCCCTTATTATGCTGTCCTATTACGCTATAGTGTACTTCCCTTTGTTATGCTGTTCTATTACGCTATAGTGTACTCCCCTTTTTATGTTGTTCTATTACGCCAAAATGTATTCCCCATTTATTATGCTGTCATATTACGCTATAATGTACTCCCCCTTATTGGCATTATTAGGGGGAGTACAGTACAGCGTAATAGGACAGCATAATAAGGGGGAGTAGAGTACAGCGTAATAGGATAGCATAATAAGGGGAGTACAATACAGCGTAATAGGACAGAATAATAAGGGGGAGTACAGTACAGCGTAATAGGACTACATAATAAGGGGAGTACATTATAGCGTAATAAGACAGCATAATAAGGAAAGTGTATTATAGCATAATAAGGAGAGTGTATTATAGCGTAATAGGACAGCATAGTACAGTACAGCGTAATAGGACCACCCTAATAATGCCGTCCTATTACGCTATGTTGTAACTAACTTTTCCAGTGAGATCAAAACTGTATCTTGCTAAAACCTGGAAAGTAAAATCTTTTTGAAAATGCGAAGTAATAATTGTTAAAAAGTACTTGAACAAAATGTATCTATTTACTGCTTTATTGCCGGGTTCTAACTCCAAATTACTGGAGACGCAAGTTTGAGAAGAGTTAGTATTTTGGAGGAAGTGACACGTACGCGCGCGTTATGAGGATTACTTTCGGTTTTCGAATAAACGCACGATGCTTCTCGCGTTGCTAGTGGCGACAAGTCCGCCTGAAAGACACTTCTCGGCTCTTCGAAGAACGAAAACGTGGCGACATTTTAACTTGTCACAAGAACGTTTGAAAGGAGATTTGCATATCGATAAACTCGAAGTATCACGACGATGGAACTCGTGTATAGATCGACGCATCGTTTTACAGCTTTCTTAGCGCATGAGCGTAGTGCGCTACGCAAGTGTTGCTTAATGTGCAAAAACCTGATTTTCCTCTTACAATTCAGCATGTGACGGATATCAAGACATTCACATCTTCAGCTAAGCCTACCGATACTATGACACTACTTTCTCAAATAACGTAATACCAACACAGTACGCGTGCAGCTTCAGTAAGTACATAACGACATGTCCCCCAGCGGGACGCTAGTAAGTTTAAGGACTTACAACGCGGTGGACAGCGCACAGACGGTCCGTTGTGTAGCTATGCGCTAAAAAAAAGCAACAAAAAATGAAAATATAAGAGTATAATACTAACCACAGTTTTAAGTTATTTATGTCAAAACGATTATATTTTATACATTAAAATGCATATTTAATTAAACATAAAAAAAAGTGTTTTAATGTGCTCACGATTTTGATTTGTGTCAAAGTCTGTATGATTTGTGTCACTGGCTGTTTGATTTGTGTCACTGGTTATTTGATTTGTGTCACTGGCTGTTTGATTTGTGTCACTGGCTATTTGATTTGTGTCATTGGCTATTTGATTTGCGTCACTGGCTTGATGTTTTTGTCACTGGCTGTTTGATTTGTGTCACTGGCTGTTTGATTTGTGTCACTGGCTATTTGATTTGTGTCACTGGCTATTTGATTTGTATCATTGGTTATTTGATTTGCGTCACTGGCTGTTTGGTTTGTGTTAATGGTTGTTTCATTTGCGTCACTGACTATTTGATTTGTGTCACTGGCTATTTGATTTGTGTCACTGGCTGTTTGATTTGTGTCACTGGCTGTTTGATTTGTGTCATAGGTTATTATATCTTTAAAACCTTCCAGAAAAGCTACACAAGAACCTTGTACACACACACATATGCAGTATATATAATTCCCTCACTTTTAACTGATAGACTAACTAAAAGACAGCTAATCAACACAACTCACCGCCAACTCTTGGGCTACTTTTGTCTGATTGAAAAGTGAGATCTGACCGCTATCTTATAGCGCGTCCACAGTCTCAAATTGAGGAATACATTTTGTCAGCAATGGGTAATGCTAACCGTCAATTCTCGAATTCACAGTTCGGGCATACTAATTATTATGTCACGCCCGATCCCTGGCTGTCACACATCCATTAAATATTGGGATTCTACATTTTAACTCTTTGTAAGAACGTATGTCATCAAGTCTTCTGTTACTACTGAACATATGCCATCAA